ATGTATGTATGTATGTATGTATGTATGTATGTATGTATGTATGTATGCAAGGCCGGATTAACCATATGGGTAACTGGGCAACTGCCCAGGGGCCCATGATCTCTAAGGGGCCCAGAGCAGTGAGGGCACAACCAAAATATCTGGTCATCTCCTGCTGTACTTGGAGCTCTGCGCTGCATTTGTGCAGCCCCGCCTCCTCCCAGCGCGGCTGCTGCAGCTCACGTCTTTTTTTTTTTTCAATCAGATCCTCGACGGTGCGACCTGTCAATCAACTCAGAAGGCGTGTCAGTAACTGACCAATCGACAACCTCAATTTGTCCCGAAGGTAAACGCCCCTTACCTGCTGACAAGCTTATCAGTTTTTTTTTTTTTTAAGAAACATTGTTTTAATTAAAACAATAAGTTTTATCTGTTGTGAGATGATTTTAGCAGTTTTGCAGATTTTTAATCTACTTAATGAAGAATAGGATGACTTCAAATTGTTCATTAAACAGGAAGGAGGACTTATTATCACTCCTCTTACTACAGTGAATGTGGTACTTTGCTATAAGTACGACTATATTTATGGCATCAGAGAAAGCTGAGCTTAAGTTATCCACATAAAGTAAAATGTCATCAGCATGAAAAGAAGGAATGTTAAGTTTGAGATTAATCCAGTTTCTGATGTCGGACCAAACACTTTGTGTTGACATAAAAAAAAAACATACTCAAGGGATTCATCTTGTGATTTACAAAAGGCACAAAAATCAACCTCAAATTTAAGTCTTCTTTGCAGAAACATGGCTACAGGATGTATCTTATTTATTATTTAAAAATGATTCTCCTTCACTTTAGGAGATTTAGGCCATTTAACAAATTTAGAATGAGCAGAAATCATTCTGGTTTTATGATTTATACTGGGAGGTTTTTTGAAGGAATCTTTGTTATAATCAGTAAATCCTTTGTTACAAACATTCATTGATAATCTTGTTGCATTTGAAGTCGACTAAGTTACAATCATTTAATTTTAATTTGGGCATCAAATCGTCACCTTTGAATATATAATATTTTTAATTCATTGAATCAACTGTTGGTCAGGTTACTTCTTGTTGTGCCATTAGCTCTAAAATAGTTACTGAATCAAGTGTTTACTTCCATCCATCCACGGGGGTAGCAGCCTAAGTATGGAGGCCCAGACTTCCCTCTCCCCAGCCACTTGGACCAGCTCCTCCAGGGGAATCCCAAGGTGTTCCCAGTGTTTACTTATGTAGGTAAAACTAGATGTTGAACAACCATTAAAATACACCAGAATGCAGGAAATGGCATCTACTTTATTCAAAAATTACTGTGGGAGGACCCCCAGACCCCCCCCCCCCCACACACACACACACACATTATAAATGCTTCTGACACCAGTGGCCAACCCGTTACTAAACAAGTACACATGTGGTGTCATATGGTGTACTGTGTGTTCAACTTAATTCAGTCTTGATGATTTGTGTCAATGAGCATTTGGAGTTTTATACATAAAAATATGTATGTATGTATGTATGTACGTACAAACGTATATATGTATATACGTACGTACATATGTATGTATGTATGTATGGAGTCAGGAGTAAATAGTTAAGTTAAATGCATTACTTACAAATATTTAATCTCACCCTAAACCTGGAATAAAAACAGCCCACCTTTAAGATTAATTCTTCTGGGGCTATTAATTGATTACCATTCCTTAACTGAGTTCATTAAACTTATGCTCTGCAATAAACATAAGCAGGTGGTCTGAATTAGTTTTCATTGCATGTTTCCTCATAATGGTTGTATGTGAGCAAACAAGTGCCAGCTCCTGCTGCTGCTGCCCTCAGGCATCCGGGGACATTTAGCATTTAGCTGAAGCTGAGCAGGGGGTGTCCATAGGGAAAATTCTGGCAGGGGCTTCGGTACGTCCCCCCCAAAAAACCTAAACTTGTTCAAACTATCAGGTTCAAACTGGTTCGCATCATCTTGCAAGGGTCTGCTAATGCTCTATAATACATGACAATGAAACATGTGCAGAACAAAAATCTAATTATGCTCTGCTGAAATTTTTAACAAGACAAGATGAATGAGTTCATGTTTAAACATTTTTTATCATATTTTATCTTGATGGAGCCTCAGTGTCAAATTAGCATTAGGGTAAGGTATGAAAATGAAACCAGAGCATGTGTATGACTTTATGTACATTCGGTGAGAAATACTCTGTATTAAAGTTATAACTTGGATTTGTAGAAGTGATATCCTGTATTCATGTTTTCAGCAGTCAGTATATTACCTGCAGTAGATGAAGGTCAAAGTGTTTTCAGTTTGAAGAATAAAAACACATTTTCACTGGTCAAATAGCAGTGATACATAATACAGCTCTGTACTTACAAGGTATGTATGTACCTGGTACATATGAGGTAGCTACATGCATGGTACGTACAGGGTACATGGATAGAACTTATGGAATACGTACTAGGTGCTTACAAGTTATGTACCCCTTAGGTACCCAGAAAGTATCCCTTAGGTAGAGGGGAAATGCCTTGCAGGTACCCTGTAAGTACCAGGTATGCTAGCTGCTACCACCTTTTGTAAATACTCCTCTAAATACCCTGCAGTTATCAGGAATGCACCACATAGGTACCAAGCACTGTATGTACCGTGTAAGTATCAAGCTATAGTATGTATTGCTGCCAAATTTTACAGAGCTTCAAACAAGTACTGTTTAAAACTTTCACATTAGAATTTTTTTTTTACAAAAAAACATAATTTATTCACTGAGGACCATGTTTATTCTCAGTCTGTTGTATTATTTGTTCTATAAACTATTATATCCAAAACAGAATGCGTGAACAAGGAGAATATTATTCCTGGAGGAAAAGTAATGCTTTGTAAATTCAACTATTTCACTTGAACTACTATAAAATGTTTGGTTTCTCAACGATAATTTTAAACACGTTTCACTTTGCAACTCGTTTTCCCCTGAACATTATTGTAATAGACCACAGACTGACGCGGTCTTCAAGGATATTAATGTAAATTTGGAGGTTGCAAGGTTTTTTGAAACATAGAGAGGAAAATGGATTGAATTTTTATTGTATCTAGATTTTTAAATTGTTCGTAATTTAATGTATAGTTTTTAGTAGATGAATTTGGAGGTTGTAAGGTTGATTACATGAATATGAAGGCAGGAATACGTAGGTATTCTTACTGTATTTTGATTGTTTTAATGGGTAGAAATGCCCAACCAGTCACAGATTTGTTCTGTTCTATGTCTGTGCGCATTGTCCCTGTCAAATAATAATAATAATAAAAATAAATAATTGTAGACTTCATAATAAATAACCATCTATTACAAAGGTGAGAGAATGATGTGAAACATTGGAAATTGGATATCCTGATGCATGCTCAATAATCCAGGTAGAAAAATCTAAAAAAGTTAAATCTGGTCCTCTGGACATTGTCCAGAGGACCAGATTTAACTTTTTTAGATTGGAAATTGGAGTTATTTTAAAACAACAGCAACACACTTTGGTCTTTGCCACACTTGGACTAACCATTATCTCATTGATTTGTTCAAAACTAAACTTTATTTCTCCAAACTGAGGCGGTTCAGAGAGCTACCTACAACAGGTAAGATAATGGTTGTTCATAACTACTCCACAGAGCCCCATTTCCAAAGAGCTGAACTGTTGCATCAAGACACATTGCGTGTACCTCCTATGAGCATGATGCACACAGAGAAGATCTTCTCAGCGTCGGTGTTGGCAGACACATTGCCGAAACCCACACTGGTGAGGCTGCTGAGGGTGAAGTAGAGTGAAGCGATGTAGACGCTGTGGATGGAGGGACCACTGCCTGTCGCGTTAACTTCTCCGATGGCGTTGTATGGGGACTCCAGTCGCTTCCCCAGCTCGTGGAGCCATCCTGTTTTTTAGATATTAAGATGGATAGAAATGGACAAGCTGATTCATCAACTGCAACGTAATGACTTCCATTTTTACACGCAATGTTTCCCTGGATGGATGACTAAATAGTTTCCTGAATCAGTAAACTATTTTCAGCACTCCACTATACCACATTTAGAAGAAAATTCTCAACACCGGAATCAGAGCAGATGTTTAGGAACCAGAGCTTATCTGTGGTCAGAGACGTTCAGATGATCCCATGAGACTCGCTTGCTGACACTGATGAATGGTAATTGGACAGAAGCACCTCATACCTGCTTGACTTCAACACTCACTTCAGCATCAGAAGAAATAATTAGGACACAACACATTAATCCTGCCTCCTGCGCAGGCCCCTTATTTCATGACACTGAGAGGCAGTAATTGGTGGAGACGAATCTCCAAATGCTGGCCTGCAACCGGTTATGACGATGCAGGGATGAGGTGATCGCCAGACTCGCAGCACATAAATACTGATGGAAGATAAGCATAGTGGGTCTCATTACGTGACCGACCTGCAGGCGGAGGGTAAAGTCATGAGGGTCCATCACTAATAATAAAAAGAGTCAAGAACTTCACAACAGATGCATGAAGGTTGTTGCTCTACGTTTTTAACTCTATATTTAGTTTAGGAATGAAGTGAATGGGACTTTTTCCCACTGAAATAAATAGTTTATTGTAACAATAAATGAAATATAAAGTATGGGATTTCTCTACAAAGACTTCATAGTTATTTTTTTTTTGTAACTTTTTAATTAAATACAATATGTATCAAGCACAAAGTGTTTTGTTTTTGACTGATACGAGGTTTGCGATGTCCTGTCGACAGATATGTTCCAGCATAAAATACAATTTTCCTACTGTAAACAAATGACAATTTGAGACCATCTTCTTTAAAATATTTATATCATAGAAGCAAAAATGTGAAAAATTATATCAAACACACCAGGGGTGTAATAATATATCAAAGTCAAAGTCAGTTTATTGTCAAAAACTGCAATATGTACAGGACATACACAGTATTGAAATTACATTACTCTCAGACCCCTGGTGCAACAATAACCATTTAACATTAACACATTTAATAAACATAAGCATAAAATGAAATAATAAAAGTATGATACTGTCTTAAATTGTACTATGGCAGTATAAAAAATATTTTAAAAAGTATATCTATAAAATAAAA